AGAGAGAGGTTTTTGCTATAGGGCACATGCACTCGCCAGACAGAGACAGAAAGCGAGGAATCACCGCCCAGGGGGGATGGCCACTCCGCAATCTCTTCTCCTCCATTCTCCTCTCAGGATCTTGGGCATGCACACACACACACCCGGCGTGAGTTTAAGCCGCCGAACTGTGGTCGACTGTGTGGGAGTCCAGCGACATATCCATTACGCTAACTGCTGGTCCCAAAAAATTATTTGCTTTAAGAAATGCAATATGGGGCCAGCAGGTGGTTTGCTCATTAAGGTGCCAGGCTTTCACGAAGCAGCCAGCTGTAGTTCAAGTCCTGGACCTGGTGGCCTGTTTTCCCACTTTCTCGAGCGTATGTGCCCTATAGCAAGTTAAATATAATCATAATAAATAAAATGAAAAAAAAAGTACTATATGATTTTTGGTTGGTTATTTGAAAGACATCAAGCATAAAGTTTTATTATAATACAGATATATTGAGGTTGCTGGAAAAATCATGATGCATTTTTGCATAGAAAAATATGTCTTGACTTTCCCAACAACCTCATATGGTGTTATCCAAATTCATGTAATTTTGCTTTTTATTTGTCTTTTTGAATTTTTGGTGTCATTACTACCTTTTCAGATAGGTAGTCCAAATGAGACTATTTTAACAATAAAGTCCTTAAAATTGGAATTACTTGCTTAGCAATTAGATTTGTATGATTACAATTGAAATTAGAAAATGTCTAAATACTGAGCTGCTTGTAATTTAATCACACTGCTAAGACCTAAACTATAAATCAATTCAGAGGTAAATTTACTTGTTTATTATATAGAGTTTATTTCTTTAGTAAATGAATACTTGTTAATTCATGTAGAACTTATAACTGGACTTTCTTTACAGAAAGCCACAAAAAAAACTGACAAACCCAGAATAGAAGATAAAGATGATCTAGATGTAACAGAACTCTCTAATGAAGATCTTCTGGACCAGCTTGTGAAGTATGGAGTGAATCCTGGCCCTATTGTGGGTAAGTTAATGACATTAAAATTATTTTTCTATGAAGAAGGGTCCAGAAGTGTTTTTCCCTCTTGCTTAGCAATTACAAGTTGGACTCTTAGGGCCAGTCTGGCATTAACCAGTAAAATGACCAGGAACTTCATTATTTTAAGTCTGAGAGGGGGAAGTAAAATGAGAGTATTAAACTATGTAATCTTGAGAATTAGACTTGTTAATATAACTCAAATAATTTAGTTCCTAGCATATTGCTCTTTCAATTAGCATTAGAAGTACCTTTTTTGTTTTTTTGGAGAGGTTTTTGCTGTAGGGTGTGTGTGTTCAACAGAAAGACACAGAGAGACAGAAAGTGAAAAATCACCCCCTAGGGAGGATGGCTACACTGCAATCCCTTCTCCTCCATTTTCCTCTTGGGATCTTGGGCACACATGTATACCCACCTGGCATGAGTTTAAGCCACCGGGTCCAGGACTTGAACTGCGGGTGACTACAAGGGAGTCCAGCGACATAGCCATAGTGCCAACTGCTAGTCCCAGAAGTACCCCCCCCCTTTTTTTTTTTAATTTGACCAGAGAGAGAGGGAAAATGAGAAAGCAGGCCTCTAGGTCCAGAATTTGAACTACAGTCCACCATATAGGAGTCCAGCATCTTAACCACCACACCACCTGCTATTCCCAGCATTAGGAGTACCTTTTTCCTTTCTTTCTTTCTTTCTTTTCCCCTTTTCTTTCTTTCCTTTTTAAAAGAGAATTATTTACTTAATTTTACTTATCATTATTATTGTTTTTTGTTTGTGACAAGGCTTACATACTCACCAGAGAGAGGTGCAGAGAGTGAGAAAGTGAGAACAGAAGCCGCTAGGTCCAGGACTTGAGCCGTGGTCAGCGATGTGGGAGTTCAGCACCTTAACCACCAGGCCACCTGCTGGCCCAAAGAGTACCTTTTAAAACACCCTCTTGAATACTCTAAAGAACAAACCAGGGTCAAGTTATGATGTAGTTAGAGTAACTGGATCCCACATGACCAGCTTTGTGATTTGAATCCTGGACCTGGCAACCTAAAAACATACTGACCGCATATGTGTGCGTGCACAAAATCCTGAGAGGAGAATGAAGGAGAAAGGATTGTGGCATGGCCATCCTCCCTGGGAAATGCTTTCTCATTTACTCTTGCTACCAGCCCCTACCCTCTGTAAGCACACATGCTCTATAGCAAATTAAATAATAAAGAAAAAAACTGAAAAAGAAAACTTAGCACCAAATACACTGTTTTTTGTTTTGTTTTGTTTTGTTTTGTTTTTGAGAGTTTTTTTTGCTATAGGGTGCGTGCGCTTGCTGGACAGACAGAGAGAGACATAGAGACAGAAAGCGAGAAATCACCCCCCCAGAGGGGATGGTCATGCCGCAATCCCTTCTCCTCCATTCTCTCGGGATCTTGGGCATGCACGCACACGCGCCCGGCGTGAATTTCAAACCACCGGGTCCGGTATGCAAACCACGGTTGACTATGTGGGAGTCCAGCGACATAGCCATTACGCTTACTGCTGGTTCCTGAGAGTGAGATGGACTCGATGCCACAATCCTCCAGCCTCCATAGGTTTTTGCCGTAGGGCGGGCGCCACCACGCCCTGGGTTTTTTTTTTTATCATTTGTTTACTTTTAGTTGTGCAAGGTTGATTTTGGAGGATTTTTTATTTATTTATTTATTTTTAAGGGAGAGATTTTTGTTGTAGGGGACGTGCACTCACTAGAGAGATAGAGACAGAAAGTGAGAAATCACCCCCCGAGGGAGATAACCATCCTCCTCCATTCTCTTGGGATTTTGGGCATGCATGTACATGCATCTAGTGTAAGTTTTAAGCCACCGGGTCCATGACTCGAACTGGAGATTTGGTGGTTTTTCCTATAGCTGTAAACAGGAAGTTTGAATGTTTTAATTTATGCGTTGTTTCCAAATAAGTTATAACAAGTCTATTAGTGTAATTACCAACAGACATTTGATACCCTTTTTTAAATTTAAAATTCCAAAAGAGAAACACTGAAGTTTGTGCATTGTACGTCAATATAAACTAAATTAAATTTCTGCACGTCACTTTTTATCTTAAGACTACCTATATAACATATCTAGATATGTGATATTTCTAAAACATCCATTTTCATTTTACTTAATTCAGAAAAGTTAATGAATTATCTATAGTTAGTGTAAAACAGAAAAGCTACTTTTTAATTGTCGTTGATACTGAAATGTGTTAAGAATTTGTGTGTAATCAATTTTGCTTTGTAATTTCTATTTATCATGGATTTTCTATAAAAAGATATCTTAATGGCAAAGTAGTTACAGTTAAATATGACTTAAATAACTTTACTTTTGACCATAACTGAATAGTTACTTATATAGATATATTAATGTCTTTGTGTTGTAAGAGTGTAATCATATTCGTACTTGAGAGGAGGGGTACAATCTGTTTATAAAAATGATTTTTTAGGCCAGCAGGTGGTTGAGGCGCTGGATCCTACATACCTAACTCTGTGGTTTGAGTCCTAGACTGCAAGGCTTAAGAAAGATGCTGGGAACATGTGCATCCATACCTGAAATCCCAAGAGGAGAATTGCAGAGAGAGATTGCAGTGTGGCCAAATCCTCTGGGGGGATGATTTCTCCCTTTTCCACCTCTCTCTGGCGAGTGTATGTGCCCTATGGTAAAAACCTTTAAAAAAAAAATGTTTCTGCATAAGTAGGTACTCTAGGTAGAAGAGGTTCAGCATCCCTAATCTGAAAATTTAGTTGTTCCAGTTACTCTGAAACTTTAGAGTGCCAATATAACACTATAAGTGGAAAATTCCACACCTTGCCTCGTGAACAGGTTGCAGTCAAGACAAAAGGCACATAATACACAGTTCATTCATTATCCTGTAGGGGAAAAAAGACTGCCTTCAGCTGCAGTACATGCCCAGACTACCGAAGGTAACTCAGGTGTATACGAATATTCCAAAGGATCTTGGATAATGTATTCTCAACCTGTAGTGGAGAAAATATACAAAGTTCAAGACAAATACTCAGCTAGGTGCCCAGCCTTAGTAGTGCAGAAGATAGTATACCGACCTACAAAGCTAGAAAAAGCCACATAGTTGACAGCAGGTTTGGATCCCCAGCCTATTGACCTAAAACATACCAAGTGCACCAAGATCCTAACAACTGGAGGAAAGGGAATACAGTATGACAAGACTTGCTGAAGGTGTCTGCTTCTCTCTCTTTTACATGTTCTATCATGAATAAAATAAACTTTAAAAAAAAAAAAGACTCAAAAGAATGGGCCAGCAGGTAGCATGGAGGTTAAGCCACAGGATCCCATGTGGCTGGTTGAGCTATTGGAGTCCTGGACCCAGAAACTTGAAAATCACATCACGTGCCTGTAACGTGTGCCCAAAATCCAAAGAAGAGACTAATGGAGAAAGGATTGTGGTGGGCCAGCCTGTTGGGGGGAGATTTCTCAGTTTTCCTCTCTCTCTTTCTCTCTGGTGAGCGCACTCACCCTGTAGCAAAAACTGAAGGGAACCAAACAACAACAAAAAAAAAAACCTCAGGATGGCGCCTCGGTGGAAGGTGACCTATACAGTAAGGCCTATATCAGTCTACTGCGTATTCCATACTATTGAAGCAAAAACATTGTTACAATTATTAAAATCCCAGGAAAATATTTATTTTAGAAAGAGTTCATAGGGCCAGCAGATGGTGTATGGTACGCCACTGTACTGCCACATGGCTGACCGCGGTTTCAGTCCCAGACCTAGTGGCTTAAAGTTTACACTGGGCATATGTGTGTGCATTCCCAAACTCCTAGGAGAAGGAATTACGGCATGACCATCTCCCTGGGGAGTGATTTCTCATGTTCCCTCTCACTGTTTCGGTCTCTCTTTCTCTAGGGAGCGCACACGTCCTAAGGCAAAAACCTCTGTGAAAATGAAAGACTCCATTATGTTTTTTTTTTTTTTAGTTATTTTTAAATAATTATTTAATTTTGTCCATTATTATTATTGTTTTTATTTTATCAGAGAGAGAGAGGCGCACACAGAGTGAGAGGGAGAAAGTGAGAAAGTTAGCTACTGGGTCCAGTACTCAAACTGCAATTGGCCACGTGAGAGTCCATCTCCTCAACCATCACGCCACTTGCCAGCCCCAATTATGTGGTGTTTTTAAACACTAAAAAAAGGAAAAAGTAAACTTAAAATATTGCTGAAGGTAATTTCTGAGCTGGACATGTAAGGCTTGGCAGGCACTAAAGCAAGTTCTTCCTTAATACAGGAACAACCAGGAAGCTATATGAGAAAAAACTATTGAAACTGAGAGAACAAGGGACAGAATCAAGATCTTCGACTCCTCTGCCAACAATTTCTTCTTCAGAAAATACGAGGCAGAATGGAAGTAATGACTCTGACAGATACAGTGACAACGAAGAAGGTAAAACGTAAAATGATGTTAAATCAAATAAATTTCATTCTTTTTCAGGCTCATATAGTGATCATGAAGAAGGTAAAATTTAAAACAATATTAGAGAAATACATGTAATTTTTGTTCATATCATTAGAGTAATCCTCCAAGTAATTTGATTTGAATGCTTTTTGTTGAGAATTCTAAGAAACAAGAGTTCAAATGTCTTAATTTTTAATCACCTAAAATTGCCAATTAACTATCTTACTTGTTTTAAATCTCATTTTTTAAAGAATTGAGTATTACATGTAAAGGCAAAGTCCCCCCACATACACTTACTTTTTTCCTATTTCCACAGAACCAGTCACATTATTATACTTTTATATACTCAGATAGATCTAGATAGATGGTATTGTTTTGCAATTTAAAAATTTATATAGGTAATACATTTAAGTCTTATTACTTGCTTTTCTTTGTAGTATATTTTTCTTTCTTACTGATTGTTATATATTTGTTTATCCCTTGTAATTAATATATTGTGGTAGCATATGTTAGGAATATGGCATAATTTCTTTGTTCTCTATTGACACAGTTTACAGTTTTAGCAAGATAATGTGATTTCAAAGCAATTTTAAAAGCAGATGTTTTTGGCAATGTTTTTACTAGATTATATACTATTTTAAGAATATTTGACCATGATATTTAAGTATTTTCTTAAGAATTGTACATGAAATAAATGTCCTTTGAAAAATCATTGTAAGTACAGTCTGATATTTATAAACTTCTAATTCATAATGAATGTATTTGTTATTTAATTTGATCCAAATTGCTTATATCTCCATAAGCATTGCCTGCCAGGGCATAGTCTACTGGGTTGGTTGTTCAGAATATGAAATAGAGTCTTTTCTTCAACAGCTCTATTTTAGCAAGGAGGCAGAAACTAAAATTATCTCAAACACAGGTAATGCTTAAACTTCCTGCCTCTTTTGCCTCTACAGGAAAGAAGAAAGAATACAAGAAAGTGAAGTCCACTAGGGATTGTGTTCCTTTTTCTGAACTTTCAACTACTCCCTCTGGTGGATTTTTTCAGGGTATTTCTTTTCCTGAAATTTCCACTTGTCCTCCTGTGGGCAGGACTGAACTACAGGCAGCTAAGGAACTATATACTTCTAAGGGAGACCCACCTAGGGAGCCTTTTATTGCCACAACCTTGCCTGGTAGAGAAAGGTTATTTAAGTTAGCCTCTGGAGGGAACTTGTTTGATTCCTCTAAGTCTAGCCATGATAGTTGTTTAGAGAAAAGTTCTTCATCATCTCAGCCTGAACTCGCTACCATGTTGGTCGCTTCTGCACCTTCTCCTTCACTGATTAAAGAAACCACCACTACTTGCTATAAAGACATGGTAGAAAATATTTACTGTGGAGAGAAAAGTGGAATTCAGCCATTACGGACTGAGCAGTCCCATGTTTCAGATCAATCGATTCTCTCCAGTAAAAGGAAAGTACTAGAAGAGTCTGAGAGATCTCAAGTAATTTCTCCACCACTTGCTCAGGCAATCAGAGATTATGTCAATTCTCTATTGGTCCAGAGTGGGGTTGGTGGTTTGCCTGGAACTTCTAACTCTGTTCCCCCACTGGATGTAGAAAACATATGGAAGAGAATTGACCCATCTGATTTTCACAAAACTGAATCCCTGTCTCCTCCACGAAAATTCCCTAGACTCAGTGAAAAGTCAGTAGAGGAAGGGGATTCAGGTTCCTCCGTTGCATTTCAGAGCATACCTGCATCTGAAGTGATGTCATCTTTTGCCAAAACTGTTGTCTTACATTCGCTCACTACCTTAGGCATAGAAATGTCTAAGGACTCACAGCATAATAGAATAGGTACCTCGGAACTATCCTTTCCTTTCCATGAATCTATTTTAAAAGTAATTGAAGAGGAGTGGCAGCAAATTGACAGGCAGCTGCCTTCTTTGGCATGCAAGTATCCAATTTCTTCCAAAGAGGCAACACGAATATTATCAGTTCCAAAAGTAGATGATGAAATCCAAGGGTTTATTTCTGAAACCACTCTACCAGCAGGCATTCAGGCAGCCTCTACTGAGTCTTGTGATAAACAGTTGAATTTGGCACTCTGTAGATCATACGAAGCTGCAGCATCAGCATTGCAGATTGCAACCCACATGGCCTTTGTAGCTAAGGCTATGCAGGCAGATATCAGTCAGGCTGCACAGATTCTTAGCTCAGATCCTAGTCGTATGCACCAGGCACTTGGGACTCTGAGCAAAACTTATGATGCAGCCTCCTTTCTTTGTGAAGCTGCATTTGATGAAGTGAAGATGGCTGCCCATTCCATGGGGTCTTCCACTTTAGGTCTCCGATATCTCTCGCTGAAAGAGTGCAAAATTAATCCAGCTTTGAAGACTAAGCTAGCTGTTACTCCATTTAGAGGTGGAACATTATTTGGAGGAGAAGTATGCAAAGTAGTTAAAAAGCGTGGAAATAAACACAAATAAAGTTAAGAACAAAAATGGTATTTTTGATGTGGGGAATTGAGGAGCTTTTCTAGAAATTTTAGTTATTTTCATGCCAGAATTTTCTTATAAGGCCTGCTTAGTTTCCAAGTTTGGCTAATTTCAAAATGTTGTTTCTACCCATGAAATTACAGTTTTAAGAATAATTGCCTATATAGAACTGCTTTTTTTCCTCCACAGATTTGCACAGATAGAAAGCCCTAGAACAAGAAAGCCTTCTAGATCACGTATTTGTCTCATAAATAATGTGCTATTTCCTATTTTACTTATGCTTTTGCAACTCCTTAAAATCTGAGAACATTCCAATAGATAAGTAGTCTTTGCTGTTTTTAATAATACCATATGCATTATTTTTTAGATCTAAGACAGAATTAACCACTTGTTGCATATTCAAAACAATGATTTTCTTTTTTATACTTCAATATAAGTATCTTTTTACCTTCTGGAACTTGTCTACGTTTCTCCTCATTTTTTCTTACTTATATCTGCAACGTCATTCATAATCTAGGTTAATACAACTCAAAGTGCCAATTTATAAACTTATTGATTCAAAGATAAGCATGCACAAAAATTTAAATTTAGAAACACTTTTTCAGTCAGTCGCAGGATTTTGTACTAAGATTTTATTGATAGTGAAAGCAATGTATTAGTTTACATTCAGATGCAAGTGCCTCACTTCTTCATGGACTGGTACCAAATAGTTCTTGGATCAGTACCAGTCCATGGGTCTCATTCTGAGAAACATACAGCCCTCCAGGATCATAGATATTCTGGGATAGCCCATACTGACTCTCAGTTTATTTTATTAGATAAACTAGACATTAGAAATACTGATTTTTCAAAAAAATGTATAATATTTCTCTTTCAAGATATGTTGTATGTCATGGATGATCAGTCTTAACAACCTAGGCTCTAAAAGCAAATTTATTTTTAAAACTGTAAGAAATCATACTATATTGCAGTGTCTGCGTGTCTGTATAAAGCAGTGTATTATTCTCTGTTTTCATTTCTGATTGTAAGATAAGAGAATCTTAACTGTAGAGGCGTTGTGGAAAATGGTAGTCTTAAGCGTAACAAAATTTGGTCCCCCGGGGATTTCTTCTAGCCATTATTATATTTTAGACTTCACATGTTCATCTTTGTAGCTTTTTGGTAGTAATTTTATTTGTTACTGTCTTCTGAAATGTACATGTATACATGTACCTACTAAGTGCTATGTGATTTTTTTTTTAATGTCTTACTGTAGAATGCTTCTGCAAATTCAATAAAGTTGTTAAATTTTAACAGTTTTGTGTGGTCTCCAAATGTGTGTTTTATTATTGGAGTTGCAACACGTTATTTCTGGATGAACATCCTCTCTCCATTTAGTCATTGAAACTTACTTTACATTTGAATGGTATAATTGAAAATATCGTAAATATTATTTTTTGTGTAGTTTTCTATTTGAAGACTATGTGCTTTTCAGTTTGGTTTTTCTGTTGTTCGTTTTTTTCTTTGTTTGTTTGTTTAGGTTTTTTTTGCCGTAGTGTGCATGTGCTTTCAGGAGAGAGACAAGAGAGAGGGAAAGTGAGAAATCACTCCCCAGGGGAAACGGCCACTCTACCATTTCCCTCCCCCCCCCCAGGGGGAATGGCCACATGGCAGTTTCTTCTCCATTCTCAGGATTTGGGGCACACATACACACATACCTGGCATGATTTTCAAGCCACCAGGTGTGCGTCCCGTGGTTGGCCTTGTGGGAATCCAAGCTCCTTAACTACCATACCACCTGCTGGCCCAAAGACCATGTCTTTAACTAGATACTGGAATGTATATTTGTAAGAAGAATTAATTTAGCCTGGTTCCTTATTTAGCTACTCAGTTTCCACTCAACTACCTTTTACTTCATGCTTTCTAATTCTTAGGTACTAAGTTGAAGCATAAAAATAGATTTTATAATGCTGAGGATTGTAACAAATACAGACATAGCAGTAGATTCATTAATAAAGTGTTTGAAGTACTATATAGATTCTGGACCGACAATTATTACACTGGAAAGTTAGCAAGATACATATAGCTGTATTGACTACCACTTCTTAGCACAACTACATTGAGTTCAAGCAAAACAACTTTGTTAAAGAGTTGACTCCATTCCTGTCTCTGGTAAGAGAGTAACTTCTGTTAGAGGTTTTAGAAATAACAACTGACACAGGTGGTGTATGGAGGTTAAGATGGCTGAATCTCACATGGCCGACTTCACAGTTTGAGTCCCATACCTAGCAGCTTGAAAATCAAAACTGGGTGTGTGTGTGTGTGTGTGTGTGTGTGTGTGTGTGCTCTAGATTCTAAGAGGAGAATAGAGGGAAAGGGGTTGCAGAGTGGCCGTTTCCCCTGGGGAGTGATTTCTCACTTTCCCTCTCTCTGGTGAATGCATGTACCCTATAGCAAGGAAAAAACAACAACAACTAAACTTTGCTCTACTGCAATAAAATGACTACAAGAATAAGGAAGATAAAATTTTAACCAGTCTTTAAAGATATTTAGCTCTTCAAACATTAATAAAATTAAGACTAGAAAAATGGAATATTAAAGTTATAAGAAATACGTATCTTTGAGTTGTCTGGTTAAAAATCCTCACGATGATAAACCAAATATTTAAGTACTGACTTCTCTTTAAAATGTTTTTATTTTGAGAAAGGGGAAGAGAAGTGACCCATGATTGGTTGTACTTTTCTCTGAACAAAATTTCTCATTACTTCCACTTTACCCAGGTTTCTTGTAACTACGTCTAAAAAGGAGGCAGGGCAGGGGTGAGGGAGGCGGGTGAGACTTGTACCACACCTACATATTAACAGCTACATAATAATATTGCTAGAGGCCTAATCTATAAGATCTTTACATTCTTAAAATTCCTTATAGTGGGCTAGCTGGTGGTATGGTATTTAAGGCAGCTGAATTCCACATGGTTGGCTGCTCAGTTCGAGTCCCAGTCGTGGCAACTTGAAAAACACACCATGTGTACCTGCTGAAAATCCTGAAAGGAGAAGGAAATGGAAGAGAAGGGATTGTGGCATGACCATCCCCCACTGGGGATTCTTTCTCACATTCTGTGTCTTCCTCTTTTCCAGCAAGTACATCCATAATCTGGGGTTTTTTTTTTCCTTTTTAATTCCTTATAGCTTTTTTCTTTCCACCTTCCATATTTAATGTACTAAGCTAACTTTTCCTATATAGTAGTAATGTTCTATATGGATAAAAAGGTGACAGCTATTTTAAATATTGTTTTCTGCATCTAAAATATTCTTAATGAAAAGTCTCCATAGGAGCAATTTGAATTCACTTTATATTTAAAGCTATTAGCCCCAGAAAATGGAAATGAAAATGAGTAGGAAGAAGTGATGATCAGATTAGAGATCAACAAAAATGGAATAAAGTAATAAAGGGAATTTTTTAAGATAAATTGCAGTTTAATTTTCTTCTATTGAGGTATTACCAATAGACAAATTTGTTTTTGTGTATTAATGTACCTAAAACCAGAGTTCCAAAGTAAAATGAGGATTATATAGTTTAATGTTTCAGATAGTAATGGTTTGTTCAATGTTATTTCCAGACTCTAAAATAGAGCTCAAGCTTGAGAAGAGAGAACCACTAAAGGGCAGAGCAAAGACTCCAGTAACACTCAAGCAAAGAAGAATTGAGCACAATCAGGTATCTTTAAATTTATGATCACTGTGTACAGGTATCAGTAATTTCCTGCCAACACTAATCTGTGTTTAAGTCTTTCATTAACAGTTGACACCCAAATTCCAGCATGTGCAATAAATTGTTAAGTGGCATTAGAAATTTGAACTATGAGTATTGTCATTAGTGTAGACTGGATACTACAAAAACAAGTATTTAATGTATGTTTCTTTTATGTTTGATTCTGTGCTAAGTGTGGTTCAAAGTCAGTCATGGCTTTTTAAAAAATTGTTTTTAATATTTATTTATTTGTTTTATTTTATTTATTTATTTTTTTAACTTGACCAGAGAAAGAGAGGGGGAAAGTGAGAAAGCAAGCCGCCAGGTCCAAGACTTGAATAGCAGCCAGTCATGTGGGAGTGTGGCACCTTTAACCATTATGCCACCTTTAACCACTATGCCACCTGCAGACCCCTAAATTTTTATTTTTAGTTAACACCTAGTGGACATTTTTGCAGTGTGGTATTTTAGTATATATTCAGTGGTCAAATCAAGGTAATTCACATATCCATCAACAGAAATATTTTATCAGTGCCTAAACACTACTGATAAAATTTCTCAAAAAGGCTAGGAAAAGGTTTTATATTTGTATCCCTGTCTCTGGATTTCTAACTTTGCTCATACTTTTACCAATTTTTGCTCTTTTCTTTAAACTCTGAGGATAGTCTGGCCCAAAGACCACACTGTTTTTCTTTCCACAATCCAGAGGAAAATTTACTTTTTTTAATTGCAGAAGAGACAAAGCACAGTTTTTAAAAAGGATAATGTGAGAAACTAAGGAGAAAACAAACATAGGCATAGATGGACCAGTTTATAGAGGACAAGTTATTGACTCTAATCTAGCATTGATTTTGCTGATGCTTTCAAGACAGTTATTCCTAGAGTAATTTTGTTACTTTTATTATTCTGTGTAGTTGAAAGATTTTTCTGGTTATTTATCTTTTTCCATTTTCTGCTTGTCATTTTTAAATACTCAGAAGTATTCTTGATTTCTTGAATCATGTCTCTGTTTGAGGTCGTTGACAAGTTGAATTTCAAAAATACTTGCTAAGACTGAATTTGGTGGGACCAGCAGTTAGCATAATGGCTATGTTGCTCGATTCCCATGTAGTCGATCACAGTTCGAGTCCCGGACCCAGTGGTTTAAACTCATGCCAGGCGCGTGTGCGTGCATGCCCAAGATCCCAAGAGGAGAATGAAGGAGAAGGAACTGCGGTGTGGCCATCCCCCCGGGGGTGATTTTTTTGCTTTCTGTCTCTGGCGATCGCATGCGCCCTGTAGCAAAAATCACTCAAAAAAAAAAAAAAAAAAAGAATTTGGTGGCTGTGGGGAATTTATAGAGCATTGAATGAAGTTTTTTAATCCAGAACTAAATACTTTGATATTTCATCTGTTTTTATGTAGTATTAGTAGCAAAGAGCTATAGGAGCAAACTGAAGAGTGGGGAAATAACAGCAAGAGAGATTAAGAAAATCTGGGTGGCCAGCTGGTGGTGTGGTGGTTTAAGATGGTTGGACAGCCGCATGGCCAATTGCATGGTTTGAGTCCCATAGCCAGTGGCTCAAAAAACACGCTGGCGCATGTACATGCCCCAGATCCTAAGAGGAGAATGGAGGAAAGGAGATTACAGTGTACAATGTGGTCATCCTTCCTGGGTAGGGAGGGTGCGTTTTCTCTCCTCCCTCTCCCCATTCTCCTTTCTCTGTCTCTGGCAAGCACACATGCACTACAACAACTTAAGAAAAACATAAATAAAAGAAATTGAGGAAAGACACTGAAATTGATAAGCATGTGTGGCCCGGAATACAGTTTCAGTTTCAGAAATATCTCAAATCAGGATCTAAATAAGATCTACATACCATGTTTTTTGTTTTGTTTTTCCCTAAGTCTATAACTATTCTCAATATTACCATCTCTAATCCCTCCAGTCTTATGAAGAAACTAAATCATTACAGGATTTCCCACATTTTGGATAAGACAGAATATTTCTTTATGTTATTTAATTTGTTCTGTACCCTTTATTTCCTGTAGACTGGGAATTAGACCTAGCAAGGCTTTCTGTGATGGTAGAAGTGTTCATACCTGGGTCACTCATTACATAGCCACTAGCTGTTGAATGCTTGGAATGTGGCGAGTGTAGCTGGGAAACAGCTCATCTTATTTAAGATTATTTAAGATTTTTTGGTTTACTTTTGGTTTTCTTGCCTTCTTTTTAATAATTATTTAATTTTATTAGTTTTTTTTTTTTTTTTTTTTTTTTTAATTTGTTACAGGGCATGTGTGCTCATGTGTGAGAGAGGGAGGGGAGAGAAAGCAAGCTACCAGGTCCAGGACACAAACTGCTGTCGACCATGTAGGAATTCAGCACTTAAACCATCATGCCATCTGCTGGCCCCAGCTTGCTTATTTTTTAAATTCACGATCAACTGTAAGAATATGAAGGTGAGAGAGAATGAAAGAGGCCTTCCACCGCATTTGGTCATACTGCAATCACTTTCTTTCAGTCCTCTAGCCCATAGGATCTTAGGCACTTATGCATGTGCCCAACATATCTTAGGGTGACTATGCCTGATCCAATTCAAACCTCAGTTGCCATGTGGGATCTGGTTTCTCTTGAGCAGCTCATTACCACTGCACCACATAGCCAGTCCTAATTTAAATGTAAATAGCCACATACAGCTATTTGGCACAGCACAGACCTAGAAGTTTGGCTAGATTGGGACCAGCAGAAGGCATCATAGTTATGTCACTGGATTCCCACATGACTGTCCAGGGTTCGGGCCCCAGACCCAGTGGCTTAAAACTCAAGCCAGGTGCATGTGCGTAGTGCCCAAAATCCCGAGAGGAGAATGGAGAAGGGATTGTGGAGTGTCCATCTCCCCTGAGGGAGTGATTTTTTGCTTTCTATCTCTGGTGAGCACAGAGCACACCACCCTATAGCAAAAATCTCTCTTCAAAAAAAGAAAGAAGCTTGGCTAGATTTAGGTTTATTTTCATTGGCCAGAAAACTTTACATGATGTTCTGGTCTCTAGTGCATCATTTATCATTTTAGAAGGCATGTGATGTCCTTTATTTTTATAAAGAATTATTTTATTTATTTATTTATTCACTTATTTATTTATTTAAATCTGACCAAATAGGGACAGAGAGAGAGCGAGAGAGACGGAAAGTAAGGAAGCAAGCCACCAGGTCCAGGACTCGAACTGTGGTTGGCCACGTGGGAGTCCAATGCCCTTAACCACCATGCCACCTGCCAGCCCCAAGATGTTGTTTTGATGATGGTAAAATAATTCATTCATTCAGATGGTAAAATTCATTCATTCAGATGTCGAAAGGCTGTCTATAAAGTTCCACATCGCCCTTTCATACAGTGCTTCTAATAGCCATTGATGGTCTAGATCCTTTTTTTTTTTTGAGAGGTTTTTTTGCTATAGTGTGCATGCGCTCACTCAAAAGACAAAGAGACAGAGAGAAAGCAAGAAATCACCCCCGAGGGTGGATGGCCATGACACAATCCCTTCTCCATTCTCTTTTGGGATCTTGAGCATGCGTGCACATGCGCCCAACGTGAGTTTAAGCTACCGGGTCCAGGATTCGAACTGCAGTTGACTACATGGGAGTCCAGTAACATAGCCATTATGCCAACTGCTAGTCCCTAGATTCATTATTTTACTGGAGCTTGTAGTATGGTGATTTTTCTCATTTTCTCATTTCTTTACATCTATAACTAGAGTTTTCTTTATAAAGAACTTTCACCGTGTAGAAAAGCTATGAGAAAAGCCTCTATCCTTTTATTTGCTAGTTTTCAAACTAAAGTGCCCATGTCACTTCAAAAAATTATGTCCTTTTTTTAATATTATAGTTTTTATATATTTGATTTCTGATCGATTGAAGTCATTTTTATTTTAATGTTCACACTATGCTACCTTTAGCCAGTAGGAATTACTAAGTTCCCTGTATATTTTCATTATTTTTTCATTTGTCTCTGATAGTTTCTTGTTTCCTAGTATAGTAAGATATCTCAGATTCATATATATTTCTGCCTCATATCTGGAATCATTTTTCTAAGGAACCCTGATTTTTTTAAAACAAAAACTTTATTCAGTTCATTTTAAAAACATTGACAAAATAAATTGCAGTTGCAGTTTCACATATACCAAAAATAAAAGTGATATTTATAATAATGGCTTACAACGTAATGAAAAACTACAATTTCATAAGAAGATTGTAAACATTTTACACACTAGTCACACTATTCTCTTAGGCACATTGCCCCTTTGATGGCAGATAAATGAATAAATACACACTATTGTGAACTATTGGTATTATAGTCAATACAAAGAAAGGTTTAGTTTTTCTCATGTAAACAAAAGTTTATTGTATACAGTCTTTTTTTTTTCTTTCTTTCTTTTTTTTTTGATCTTACCACCCACTCTTCCAATTACTTTCCCCTCTTTACTGTCACTAGCCTCCATACCAGTCCTCTCCACTATCACATCTTTACATCTCTCAACCTCTGTCATAAAGCACAGACAGTCATTACAAATTGATTGGGGATATACAGTGTGTATCTTTTACAGTCTGGCTTATTTCACTCAACATTATTAAATCTATGTTTGTGCATTTTGAGTTGAACAGTAGGAGCTCATTGGTTCTTATAGCTGAATAATACTCCATAGTATGTATGTGTATGTATATATGTATATATATGCCATAGTTTTTCACCTGGTTACCAGTTTGGGGGCATTGAGGTTGGTTCCATGTTTTAGCAGTTATAAGTACAAGTGTAATAAACATGAATGTGCAAATGTCTTTTCAGTTGAGTGTTTTCTTTTCCTTTGGGTAGAAACCAAGAAGTGGAATTGCTGGGTCGTATGGAAGTTCTCTTTGTAGATTTTTGAGAAATTTCCATATTGTTTTCCATAGAAGTTGTACTGATTTATATTCTCACCAACAGTGTGAGAGT